TTGATCTTAGAATACAGTCTAAAATCTGTGATATGGCCAACAACATCCTGGCCTGATCTAGCCCTTGCTCACCACTCCAACTTTAACTCATGATACTATGCTGTAGCCACCCTGGCCTCCTTTCAGTTCCTCCAATACCCTGAGCTCCTCCTCATTTCATGTTCTTTGCAGATACTGGCTCCTTTGACAGGGATACTTGTCCTCCAATTTGTTTAAGTGGCTAACTACACATCTTTCTGGCCCCAAATTAGCCTTCTCTAGTCTTCCCTAAATCCCAGAGGAGGTCAGGTCTCATTACACTCTTTTTTTTTTTTTTTAAATTCAAAGATATTGAAGCCAGGGGGATTATAAATTAATGATGAGCAATAATTTATACCAGTGATAGAGCAAAGACATTTCCCAAATTCAGAAACAGGTTGTCTCAAAAATCTCATTTGTACATAGATTTTTTTAAAGTGTAAAATATGTTTTTCAATTGTACTTGGAGTCCCAGGCTAATTTAGAAAGATTGATCCACTCAAAAACGTACTCAAATATGGTACTTTCAGTACTATTTCAACTACACTTAGCCACAGTTTATAATATTATTTATATAGAAAAGACATTTGGAACTTTACATAAAAATACCAAGAACACATTTATCCTGTGGCAGCAACTTTCCCTTGACACTCCCCCTCCCATGACAGAGATGGCAGAGGGGCCTAGGGAAGGAGGTGGGAAGAGGAAGGCTGCAATAGGAGCAGTCACTTGAGGCCAGGTTGATACTTCTAGACACCAGTAACATTTAACTTCCCACCTCGATACCTCACTTCTTATGTGACCTGCAATAGAAGAACAAATAGTATAGGTATCACATATGGGAAGAGAGGTGTGTGGAACAGGGCTGTGAGTAATATTGGAAAAATATTCCAAAGGTACCAGTTATCTATAAATCAAATGTTCTTACATCAGGAGTACTTGTCCTCATGTCCATTAGCTAAGACACACTCTTCCCAAAATAATAATTAGAAGATTTTCCTTAAGCTTGAAGCCAGAGGGAAGGTATTTGAATAATTTATGCAAGAGCCAAAAGATTTATACCTGCTCTGTCCAGAGAACACCTTGCTAGTGGCTGGAATTCTTGCGTCTATCTGACAGACACATAGTGCCTGTTTTCCCTAGATGCTGCCAGCTAAGGACTCACGGCTGGTCCCCCCCCTTCTCTTTCTTTTTAATATTCCCTATTAGTCCACAAAGTGCTTTGGTCATTGCAGCCTTACATCTTAATATAATTGGCAAGATTAGAGCTTATCCTTCATCATCACATTTTAGATTGGCTTCCTGATGAGATGTTAAGAAAGCAGACACCTTAATCTTACCATAAACAGTTTATAAATCATATTCAAAGTAGGTCTCCTCTGTGAAATTGTTTTGCAAATAATGCTGCCTCCTGTGTGTTTGTTCCTGTGTCTCACTCCTAAATTTAAAGCTATAGCTTCCATTGGCAGTTTTGACATCTACCCTCTTCTTATATTTTTCTTGTTACATTTCCACATTCATTGACTTAAGTCTATGTTAGAACTACGTATGAATCTAGACAAGGGAAGAGGCTAGCAGTTGTGTGTGGTGGGGGTGGGGGTGGGGGTGACCAGAATACATTTTTATGGAAGAGGACCTTAGAGGCACCAATCTGATTCACAAGGGAACAAGAGGTCTTCTCTCAAAGTTGTGATTATGGAGTGAAAACACCATTTTTTCTAGACTCCTGGGTTTATTTGAGGGTAACTTCAGAGTGGACATGGCTCTTCTGATTGATTTTTTTTGTTTGTTTCACCACTTTTGACAGTACTGATATGAATAAAGAAAAAAAGTTTTCTCTACCATGGGGAACATCAGCAGTCCTAGTATGATAATAAATGGCAGTTGACATTGGTCTTAATCTGAGGGAGAAACGGGGGTGACAGGAAATGTTTTGTTTTTTTCCCATGGAGAGCGCCCCATCTAAAAGAGGTAACTGCTAGGTGGTTCAAGCAGACTATTGCTATTTAGGAACACGGGCACGGTTATCAGTCTTTTCACTTTTTCTAAAGAAGCCAGAAATGCAGACTTTTATGTGAGCTCACCCAATTTTTTTCAGTGTTGGCTCACACGGATGCTTTTTTGTGACTTACCAAGACAGTTTGGCATCTATTTTTCAGGAGACATTGATGTCCGTTCTGTCTTGACTGACTCATTTGATGGGAACAAGAAGGCCATGTGCCAACACAGATAAAACAGAAGAAGACGTATAGGAAGAGGGGAGGAGCGGGGGAGACACTCTGCAATATATAATGAGTATCAGTGCTTTATTTTTTACCAAAATATCAATATTCCACCAAACTGAGCTCTTGAGATGTCAAAAACATGTATAATAGTGAGAAACTTATAATTTTAAAAGGAAGTGCTATAGCCTTTAAAATAGGTGATGAAAAAGGAATATTGGGATATAGAACTGTTATAAGTCTAGGGAGACCTGTTCTTTTTTTTTAAATCCTCACCCAAGGATCCGTTTCTATTGGTTTTTAGAGAGAAGAAGAAGAAGAAAGAGAGAGAGAGAGAGAGAGAGAGAGAGAGAAACATCAACTGGTTGCCTGCCTTCCCCTATGCACCCAACTGGAGATAGAACCTGCAATGGAGGTTTGTGCTCTGACCAGGAATCAAACTCGCCACCTTTTGATGTAGAAGACAATGCTCCAATTAACTGAGCCACCTGGCCAGGGCAGAAGACCTGTTCTTATAAATAATTGATATTCGTTAGTTGCAAAAATACAAAGAAACACCCTCTATGATAAATGACAAAATTCAAGATACTGGTTACCTGGGGTGCAATCTGGGAGGGAGTAGCAAAGGGCTTTAATTGTGCTGCTGGTGTTTTATTTCTTAAGATGGGTGATAGGTATATGAGTGTTCACTATAATTGTTAGAAATTTTTATATGTCTAAACTATTTAATGAGAAGCACATTATAAGAGAATAAATGTTAGGTAGGCCCTTTTCAGACCTGTGAATGGTTTTTCTGCCAAACAATTACATTTTCTTTTCAAGGGCAAGAAGGCAAAAAGCTCTTAGATTTTTCCTTCCCTCACTAAAAATCTTTCAGCCTCTGACAGATGACAGGAGTTGTTACTCTGAAAAGTACACTTCAGGTTGGCAGGAACATGGAAGGGTTACCAAAATTGTGCTAGCTGATAGCCCAGCTATGACTCCAGCAATTGGACCCTAGATTTCTGTCTGCTCTCTGGACCCAGCCAAGGATCTTTATAAAATGACAGGGCTCAGGAGTCTGCATGACTTTTATAAGAAAGTAATTAAGAGAGATTAGTAATTCCGGAGTAATAACTAGGCATCACACTGGGCATATGAATTGCCATCATCATCGCCATCATCATAACAATTAACATTCACCGTAACATTTAACAGTATACAAAAAGATATTATGTACATTACCTTATCTCGGCCTAGCAAAAGCCCTGGAAGGAACAGAGGAAAACTAGTATTATATTCATGGAGAAAATTGAGTATCCGAGTGATTTTCCTCAAGGTCAATGAGTTATTAAGTGTCAGAGCATTGACTTCAAACCTAGGTTTTCTGATTCCAGACATTTACTTTCTTTTTATGCTCAGGGTCAGCTCAATAGTTGAGTTTGCCCAACATCTAATACTTAGAGGTATTTGATCAGGGGGGGTTCCAAGATTCCAATCCTAAGAATCTAAAAATTTATCAAATATCTCCAATGCCCATAATAAATTGATAGGGATCTATAATCAGGACTTTATCAAAACTCTTTCTGGACAATTATCTGCCAGTGACTTTCTTTCCCTAATCCCACAGTTTGAGTCCATCAACCTGGCTAGGACCATGAATTTAGCCATTCCTCAGACTTGATGACCAATACTGTTCTTTTTTTAAAAAAAATATGTTTTTATTGAATTTTAGAGAGAGAGAGAGGTTGGGAGAGGAGAGGGATAGAGAGATAGAAACATTGATGATAGAGAAACATCATCGATCAGCTGCCTCCTGCACACTCCCTACTGGGAACTGAGCCCGCAACCTGGGCATGTGCCCTGACTGGGAATTGAACTGTGGCCTCCTGGTACATAGGTTGACCCTCAGCCACTAAACCATGCTGGCCGGGCTCTTTCCAGTTTTTAGACCTCTAACTTTTCTCTCTCATCCAGCTGAATGAGTAATGCCTCTAGTGGAATGTTAACTGGTAGTGGTAACAGCAGGCAACCCTGTCATAGTCCTGACTAGCAGGTGCTCCTCAGCAAATCCGAATTCAGGTGCTGCTCATGTGACGATGGCTGCACTGGCAACTTGACAAGGTACAGATCTGCGCCTCTTCACTGAGGGAGAGTGCATGTGAGTGCTTTCCCAGCCTTTTGAGATATTATGGACATATAATATGCAAGTTAAAGGTGTACAATGTGATGATTTGATACACAAATATATTATGAAATGATTACTACAAGAAGGCTAGTTAACACCTCCATCCTCTCACATTATTATAGCTTGTGCGTGTGTGTGGTGAGAACATTTAAGGTCTACTCTTTCAAAAACTTTCAAGTATATAATACAGTATTGTTAATTATAGTCACATGTTGTGTATTAGATCCCCAGAACTTATTCATCTTATACCTAGAAGTTTGTATCCTTTGACTGACATCTCCCCATTCCCCTCCCCTCCAGCCCATGATAAGCACCACTGTACTCTGTGAGTTCAACATTTTTAGATTCCACATGTAAGTAAGAATGTAGAGTATTTGTCTTCCTCTGTGTGACTCATTTTATTTAGCATAATGCCCTCAAGGTCCATCCATGTTGTCATAATGGCAGGATTTACTTTCTCATGGCTATATATAGATATATAAATATATATAAAACAACTTCTTTATCCACTGACCCATCAATGCACACTTAGGTGTTTCCATACCTTGGCTACTGTGAATAATGCTGCAATGAACACAAAAGTGCAGATATGTCTTCAAGATGGTGCTTTAAGTTTTCTTCAGATACATACCCAGAAGTGGGACTGCTGGATTACATGGTCAGGCTTCTGTTAGCAAAGAGGAGGAAACAGGAATGAATTTAGAGCAGACAACTAATGGTATTTGGCTTCAATGTACAATCTGAAATCATGTTTTCTGAATTCCTTTAGCAAACAGGTGAGACACAGATCTAATAATTTCTTAAGAGTAAAAGAAATATAGAACCATAATAAATGATGAATACCACTTTTTTCCTACCCACTCTTATCCATGACATAATTAATTTTAGTGAAAATCAATTGTATGATTTCTATTAGTTGAAAGAGATCCACAAAATATGAAAACCTTAGGCTTTCTATTCACACAGAGAATATTCTAGTATGTGTGCTCTCTCTCTCTCTCTCTCTCTCTCACTCTCTCTCTCTTCTTTTTCTTTCTCCCCCCACTGTGGAAATTCATTCATACTGCCATTTCCAGGATCATTTCTAGAGGCCGCTGTTAAGCCCAGCACACCCCAATTAAGAGAGAGACTGATGATCTTTTCACACACACACACACACACACACACACACACACACACACACACACACACACACACACAAATAACTTAGCCAAAGATAGAGATCTGGTTTATCTAGGAAGCACAAATTGCTTAATATTAATGTTACAGAGAAGACAGGTTTTTTTTCTCTTGGCAACATTCTTCTCATAAGTAGATGACTATTGTTTTATGGTCCTGTAACAAAGTGCTCCAACCATTATTGAACATGTCAACTGCCACTCTGAACAGGTTTGAAATGCCTGGAGCTCTAAAACTTGATAAGAAAAATCAGAACCTACTTCAGTTTTCAAAAGCTTCTTGACACTCCAGGGGACAGATATCCTTATCATGGTTTTCTCTTCTAAGAAAATCAAAAAGCAGACCAGCTACAGTACCAAAGTGAGATACTCATATTAATGTTCTTGTCCCCAAAGTGAGGATTTTGACTTTTAAAGGTGTTTCCTTGCATGGATGTAAGACTTTTCCACTTTTTCATGGTTTCCTCTCGGTTGTAGAACAAAATTAAATGTACTTTTCCAAATTTAATCTATACATTTAACTTTTGGAATCTCAAATTTGAATCTTCAAAGCTTCAGTATAAAGCCCATTAGTTTAACATGCAACAGATATTTTTGATGTTTATGCATTGTGTGCACACCCTGTAACAAGAATGGAAGACACAGTAGTTAATAAGATAATAGTCTCTGCCCTCACTGAGCCTACAGTACAGTGAAGAAGGCAGATACTGTCAATTGAAGAAGGTTTCCCAGGGAAATTTAAACCTAGGCTATGCTTTTGTATTGCTTAAGGAAAATAATGCCAGCTGCTGAACCAAAGAAACCTCAATTTCTCAGCAGCTTAATACACTAATGATTGACTTCTTGCTTATGTCACAGTCAAATAAAGTCTCAGACACCTTCATCTTAGCCTCTGTTCTTCTCAAAGTCCTCTGATCCTTTCCAGTCATGTGGTGGATGGAGAAAGAGAGCAAGGTTTACTTGTGGCAAGGTTTTATGGACCAGGCCTGAGAGTAACACATCACTTTCACCACATTTTTAGTTACACAGTCACACCTAACTGCAAGGAAGGCTAGAAAGTATAATCTGTGTACCAAGGGTGAAGAAGGAAAGGTAGATACTGGTGAGTGCAAACAGTGTCTGCTCAAACTTGAAGGCAAGTAGCAACCAGACATGAACCTTGAAGTGAGGAAGAGGTAGAAGAGAGGTAATGAAGAATGTTACAGGCAGAGAGAACATGAAGTGCTTCCAGAGCTGAGAAAGCATGGTATTTGGGAGCTGAAAGTTGTCCAGTGGGGCTAGAATATGTAAATCAAATTGGTGAAGTGAATATAAGATCTTAAGCATCTTTGTAGACCATTTCAAGGAACATGGGTTTTATTCCAAGAAAAGTGGGGCTCCATGAAAGGTTTCAACCAGGGGAGTGAAATGATCAGGTTAAATAGTTAGAAAAACCGTAACTCCTATAGCATGAAAAACACATTGGAAGAAAATAGGGAAAACAAGACTGAAGGCCAGTTAAGAAGCTGTTTCATTAATTCAGGTGATGGGCCCCAAACTAGGATAATGCTACTAACAGGTCTAGGAAAAAATGTGGCTTGATTTGGGAGATATTTAGGAGGCAGAAGTGAAATAGTATGATTTCTGCTTAGGGTTGCATGTAGCATCAACCTGCGATGTTTCAGATTTTTTTTTGTATTTTAGCGAAGTATACTTCTGTATTTCATCGAGGTAAGCTAGAGCAAACACTCCGAGTTCATGTAACAACACATTTGTCAGTCTTCGGAATGAGGTTAGGGTGTTTCCAACTCAGAGAGAAAGAAATCATACCAATATGTCTATTTAAAATTATAAATGCAGTTGCAGATATATTTCTCATCCAAGCCACTTGACTGAAATTATTACATAAATCAATAACCGAGAGGAATGAGGAAGTCCCCAGTTGACTCTGGGCATCATATCTTATTTTTCCCATTTCATAGACTTCTAAAAATTACAAGATTGCCCAAACTGAAATAATTTTCTGCTTCATCACGAATCAGATTATGTCTTGATTTGGGGTGAATGTTTAAATTTGTCACTGGCTGAAGAAGTTGGGGACATCTTAGTTAGATGAAAAGCAAGAGGTGCCAATACCTTGCTGTGTAAAGGCCTTTCCAGCATATTTCAGGACATATTTGTTTGGCAGGATCCCAGACTGTGTTCTGGGACCTACTACCTGAATACAGTCTGTTTTTGCGATATCAAATCACAAGGATGCTGCTTGCCAAGACTCACACTGTTGTCCACCTGGCCAGGCCTGACCACTTTAAGAACTGAGAATAGCAGACAGAAGGTTCTGGCTGCCTGTGAAAATTAGGCCAGGCCCACAAGCTCATCTTTAGAAGGAACTGCTTGCTGGATTCTGAAGTCCCACAGTGTGTCCCCTACTCTGCTCCTGACCAGTGACCCTGAGTGATTTCATGCTGTTCCTGGCTCCATTTCTTCATTCTTCTCTCCATTAAACATACCCAGCTCCTTCTTAATTCCTCATTAATCCTATTTCTTTTCTTGTGTATCACATGTGCCACATTCTGACCTTCAACCTGCCTGGACCTGGCATCTGGCTCCTTCACAGGAAACAGGTATGTATGTTTCTTCTAGATACTCTACTTTCACTCTGGAGTTGCCCCCTCTCTGGAGAATCTCTGCCTTACAGCTGCTGTTGTAGCCTCAGTCAGTCATTACAGTTCTTATCTGCAACTGGAATTATCCATTGGATCCCATCTGTCCGTTCAAGGTGATATCACTTGCTTTCTAATCCTGTAATATATTATCATGGTGTTAGCTTCATATTTCTTTTTTTCAATTTGGACTTAAAAAATGTGCAGAAGCAGGAATTGACTAATGACAGTTATTCCTGTTTCTGAATAAAAGCCTATTACTTATGTGCTTTGATTCGTAACATTAGAAATACATTTTGAATCTCAAAATATATTTTAAGTTGATTTTTATCTATCATTTAGTTGACAAATATCTAATAAAACTGTACGATTTGATTTAGATTTTAAATACCATGGTTTTAAAATATTCTGGAGTTTGTAGCTCTACAATGAAACTAAAAAATACCACCTTAAGTTTGTTCCAGTTTTTCTGAGTACATTAAGATCATCAGCAACTATTGCTATTTCTTGAAGTTGTTTTTTTAATTCTTAAAGGAAATTACTACTTCACCCTCTCAAATTTTGCTATAAAGTTTCAATGTCCCTTTAGCATTCTTTGCATTCTTTTTGCTTTTTTTAAACAGAAGAAAAATTTTTTAAATAGTTTTTCTAATAAACTCCTTTTTGTTATAAGTAGTATTTAGGTGTTTTATAACTTCTAGGTTTTTAAAGATCTTTGGATAGCTTTCAACTTTATGGTGATGCGATGGCATGAGGAAGCAGATTTAGGCCAGGAGATATAGAGTTCTTTGACGGTAAAAGAATACATGCATGTGATCTCCCAAACAGCTTTCAAGTTACTTACATTACACACATTATTATTCAATAGAGATTCTCTGTCTACTGAAGGAGAACACATATTTGACAATTAACTCAAAGTACAGATGCTGTCCTCTTCTATTTCAGGGCCTCCCCTGCCTAAAAAAATCATTGGACACACTTTTGACAGTTTAACGATTCTTTATTCCTGAATATCCATCCATTACCAATAAGTACTCTAAGACACAATGCCTCACTGATTCTTCCTTTCAAGATCCCATTATCTGTTCATATTCTGACTCCAAAGTAGCCTTGATAGAAAAAATAACATGTGGTAGAATAATGAAACAGTAGTCTTAAGAATTTCAAATGCCCTAATAATAGCTACCACTTATTGAGTACCTAATATATACAATGCATTGTTCTAGGTGCCTTTACAGATATTATTACTAATCCTCCATAGTAACAGGTATTCCTTCTTATCTTCCTTTTGTAGATAAGGAAACATTGAAGCTCTGAAAGGTTAAGTGATTTATTGAAAGACACAGAGCTATAAAGTGACCAAACAAGAATTTGTAGTCAAATCTTGCTCCAACGCTCATGCAAATGCTAACGCATTACACCATGTTGCATCTAATGCCTGTTCATTCTAAAGTTTGAAGTGGTGGCAGAATGGATTGATTGGGGGTAAGTCTAGTGCTGGGGAAGCAGAACTTTCAAGGCCATCCAAACACTGATGTCTAAACCTAAGGGCACATCTAGGAGTTTTCAATTCTTGGGTGTATTAGTGTTCTATTGCTGCCACAAATCACCACACACTCAGTGGCTTAAAGCAATTCAAATCTGTCATCGTATAGTTCTATAGTTCAGAAGTCTGGCATGGATCTTACTGGGCCAAAGTTGAGGTGTCAGGAGGGCTGTGTTCCTTTCTGGAGGCTCTAGGAAAGGATTTGGTTTCTTGTCTTTTCCAACTTTAGAGGCCACCTCCATTCTTTGGCTCACGGTCCCCTTCCTCCATCTTCAGAGCAGCAACACAGCATCTCTTTGAC